TATCTCACTGCATCAGAAGAGAATAACAATTTTACTTGAATGCAAAACCTGTGTTCAATTTACACTTTATCTGAAAGAACTTGCAACTGTCACAAATTCCTGCCCAGGTCCTGTGACTTAAAGACATACACTTTCTAAAAATAAGTTAACAGTCTTCACTTAGGAGTTGGTATTCTTTAAATAGAAGGAAGTTTTAAATAAAAGCGGCATCATTGAGGTTTACTCTTGTTATTGCTGGTCTGACTAGGAATCCTTAACTGTAAGTAGAACCTCTTTTGTTGAAACCAGTAGTCTGGCAGCAGGAGAAATTATACAATATGAAAATATAGAATATCTGATTTGACAATGTTGCAAGACAAAAAGTGCTTCTCAGCTAGGAAGAAGGATGTACGTTCTGCCAAAACTCTTCATACTACAAATTCCCTCTGAAGCCTCTTTCTAACTTATTACTGTATTTTTGTTCTCAATCACAATACAGAATATGGTTTAACATTGAGTAGAACTAAACAAAACTTCCTAAACACACACTGAAGCAATCCTGAATTAATCTATTGGAAGTGTACTTGCAGAAGACTTAACTGTGACTAGTTTTTAGTTTGAGAGCTTATGCACTAGTTAGGAAGGAATTTTACCTAACTATCAGAGAAGATATGACTGTTACTCTGTTTGAAGACCTTTAATGAGTGTTAGAACCCTGATCATAAATGTAGTTTCTGGTAATGCTTTGTTTCTCTGAACCTTGAACTACACGTAATTGTGCAAATATATTACTCAGATATAGTTTGTGAGTATCATCATAGGTTTTCTACCTTTTTTTCAGGAGTGAAAAAAGTTGTTTTGCACTGTTAAAAGTAATTTTCCTGTTCTTCTAGGGTTAACTGTTATAGTGCAGTGTCTGCTCAGTGTCCTTTTGGAGGATTTAAGATGTCAGGAAATGGACGAGAAATGTAAGTAAATACTTTTAAAAATATAAATTCACAGGAACTGCAAAATGTAATTCCAGAACATTCATAACTAGGATGCTTAGTTTGAGATTTTGTCAAATTAGTCTATGTAGTGTTTAGATGCTTCATGTTATCAAAGTCAAGCAAAGAATTCCTCTATAAAACAACTAAGAAAATTACTTGATACACACTTTTCCAAAGTGACCATTTTTAGTAGCTTGCGGTCTACTGCTGTGCAAAACTGATCATTGTGTTTATGGTTTACAGTTTTTGAGTATATACATATACATAGAAAGTGCCATTTGTAGGAAGATACATATGTGTGTAGTATGTGGAATACCCTTTAAATGCTAGGTTTTTTAAAACACAAGACATTTCAAAATCCTTGATTTAGGCAAGAGTTTTCAGTTTAAAAGTCTTGTGACAACATTGTTTCTACAGCATGTTCCAGCTTGGTCAAAAGTTATGACAAAAATAGTCCTCTGTAGTCTTCAGATCTTTGCTTTTTTCCCAGACTAGAAGTGGAGGAGTATACAGAAATGATAAATTAATCAAATTCTTTCAGACTTCTAAGGTTTAACCCTTAGAAGTTTCAATTTGAGTCATGTCCTGTCTTACCTGTACTCATCCTGATCTTCATACTAGTAAGACACTTATGTAATGTGTTACATCATGAAAAATTTAATGTCTTGCATGTTCAACACATTATGTAGCATTGTGTCTTCTGGGTTTTTTTGGAATGTAAATCACAAGCAGTCCTTTTTTGAAAATGCCGTATGTCTGTGAACAGAAATCATTTTTAAAGCAAGTAAAAATGAAAACATGTAAGATTTCCCTTTTGTTAAGATAAATGCATAGTGATTTTAATCGATAATGGAAATAATTTAAAAAAATATGTGCAGGTGGAGTCCTTCAGAGCCTCTTTTTATCTTTTTTCACATTTGTTTTTAAGAGACAAAGGCTAGGATTTTCATGCTTGCTCATCACTGGACTCAATCTGCTCCTGATGGCAAAGCTCCCGCTGACTTCAAAGAAAGCGGACGTACGCCAATGCTGAGAGCTTTAGAAAATGTCAAAGAGAAAAAAAAAAAACACTATAATTTAGGCCGTCACTATCAAGGACTGTTTTGCATTTGCTGAGTGCAAAAAAAATGGGTTATCATCAATTCTGAATTACAGCCTTTTATAGAAATATTTTGGAGATTTATTTGCTGGTAACAACAGGAAAACAACAGTAGGCTATCACAAAGACTAATAGTCTTTATGGCTGTGTTTTGAAGGAATTAAGCTTTTGTGCAAACGAAATTTTTCCTAATGCTTGGCTTAAAATCACAGTTAGTGGAAAAATAAAAGTATTTATGCTAAGGAGCAAGGAAGGAATTGTCACCAGACAGATGTCTGACATGGAAAAAAGTTTTGTAAACATGTGGCAATCAGTTTTAGGAGAGGTGGAAATATGTGTGAAACAGCTGCAGTGACATAATCAGGAAGTCATTGTGTCAAGCCGTTGACTTCCATGATTCCCAGGATAAAATTCCCAGTATAATTCTTGTCATGATAATACCTTTATGAATTAAACTACTGAATGTCATGTACTAACAGAATGATTCTTCAAAAATGAAGCGACTCAGTAAAGATTCTCACACAGCAGGGGAGTCCTGAGCACAGATTTCTGGTTTTGCATACGTATGTATCCAGTAAGTTGGCAGTGAAAACCGGGTAACGTTGTATTGTAGCAAACCCTTGTTCTATAAAACAATTATGTCTAAGTAGTTTGACTGCATGTGATGTCAAACACCTAGGCACACAAGCAAGCTTCATCTCATCATGTAAAACATAGAAAAATGTCAGCAAGATTTAAGTGTTTTTCACTGTCTGGGAGATTTCATAGTGGATTAATTATGTCTCTTGTTTACTTGAGATGAAGCGTTTATTTTTTGACTCTGGAGAACACTCGACGTCAGAGGAAGGCTTTTGCCTATAACTTGTTGAGCCTGTTTGTGAAGACCCAACATGCACCTGATTTGCAGCACAGAAACCCAGTTTAGAAATGCACTAAATTAATTAATCGCCATATTGTTGCACAGAAAATAAATGCTTGCTCTCCAACTCTTCTCAGGATACAGTTACTGCAGCTTTTCAAAAGGCTTGCAGCAGCAGTCTGGCTGCACAGATGTCTTCCAAATATGTCCAGTATACTTGTTATACATCTGGCCAGTTGCACAGCACCACTGAAAATCCCATCCAGGACATAACTCATATAAAAAGCATTATCATAAATATTGCTCTTCGTTCTCTTTTATTAGGGGAGAATATGGCCTTCATGAATACACAGAAGTTAAGACTGTCACAATCAAAATCCCACAGAAGAACTCATAACGCTCCTTGAGGTGCAGAATTGAACATCTTCTAATGAATCTGAAAAGGCCATCTGAATTCTGAAAAGTTTTGCATCCCAAATTACTCATTAACCTTTTTGCTTTCTGATTGTATAAGGGATACTTGCTTACATTAACAATATAAAGAATAATGTAGAAAATGTTAATGGATTAACCAAGGAAAGGAAACTTTAATATCTGGTACGTAGTTAACTAATTTTGACATTCATGTTCAGAAAGAACTATTCTTCATTTTCAGTGGAAAGTCTCTTTAATGCTATGAAAATGTTCCTTTTCAGTATATTCTACAGATACAGTTTGAATTTATATACTCTTCTAAATGTTAGATGGCAAGGTCTCTTCGCATTTTCTTTTCTTTGTGGCCTTAACAGAAGCACTTACGAGTAATTAGCAGATAGATACCTTTCTGTGTCTTTCAAAAACAATAGACTTTTAGACATATATCTTAGACTACTGAATTTGTTCATCGTACTACACTGTAATCTCGATAGTATTAAACAATATTAAAATCCACCTTCAAACCCTAATATTGATCCTTTAATTTGTTTTTTCTATTACACTGGTTTACCACTGGGCACCATGTAGCCCATGTTTTACATCCTCAAAGAAGCAGCACTGTCCTAATGGTATGTTTGGGTCATCACAAGTATACTACCTTGGCTATATGGAGACTGAAGTCCCTAGTTCTTTGACAGTATTATAAATGGAAATATATGAACACACAGAACACTGGACAATTTGCAAAGAGCCAGAACTTGGCTGTGTAGTATACAAAAAATCTGAACAGATAACAGGCGAGAAATATTGAAGGGAAAGAAAAGATGTGGAGGTGAGTGAAGTCAATCTCCTTTGTGGTTTATACCTGTTTTATTTTTCCTGTGGTCATATGCCTGTTACTTAGATGTTTTTCGCCCTCCTCTTTCCTCTTGTAGTCCGTTGTTTTCCTTCATCCTTTTTGCTCATCCTCTCTTTTTCATATAGCTGCTTATTCTAATAAGGCCCTCTGCAGACACATGTCCCGAGCTGATCATAACCTCTGAGGTCTCTTGGTCTGTGCAGCTTCAGTCTTTCACAATTCTCTACCAGTGCAGCTATCAGCACCCTCCAATGGTCACTGACTATCAGCAGCCATCAGATAAGCTCTGGGACAGTGGTCTACAGACACCAAGTACATCAATTACATAGCCTGCTACTGACAGGGTCGTATTTTCTCTGGACTGAGTCCAGAGCCAGAATTTATCTCCTGTTAGAGAGGGTCAGCATTACATATAACTTAATGTATGAGATCTGCCCATTAGTAAGAACACAGCACACAGCAAATTTTTAAGCAGTAAGTATGCACAATTTTTACAGTATTGAAAGGAAAGAGCTTTTGTTCATTTGGATAGTCTTCCCAATTTTTTTTTTTTTTAATAAGATGGCTAAAACAAAGCCCAGATCAGGCTTTCACCCTATGACTTGTCTCTGGATGACTTTTTTCATGAAGTTAAGAACTGGACATAAGGCTTGTGGCACAGGTGTACCTCTCCACAGACCTCTACATTATCTGTTCTTGAAAAGTGTCAGTTCCAAATCCTGTACATATGCCTCTGAAATTATTTTATAAACCATAGTTTTTAAACAAACCCAACCCTTGTCCTATATTAAGAAATAAGTAACAAAATAATAGAAGAAGGAAAAGAAGGAAAATGAATAGAAAATTAAAAGGTACTGTGGTAACAATGAGCACAGATTGTTCAGCAGTGGAAAGTGTATAGAAGAAAGCACAGAAATCGAAATATATGCCAAATAAAGGGAAAAGGAAAAAAAATGCTGAAGAAATAAGCTGCAGAGAAGAGTAGAATAGCAAAACACTCCAAAAGACTTTAGAAGTGGTAACGAACATAGTCTTAGAGAAAACCTGGATATAATGAAAGATTAAATATTTTAAAAGAGATGAAAAGCAGTATGTAGAGCAGGTATGGGTCTTCGTAAATCTCTACCATCCAAATTCTGCTTTTGCTTAAGTCAATTGTAGAAGTTTCGAAGGATAAATAAGTCAAATGCCAGTAAATCTACATTTGCACTTTGGTTTGGATCAGGAGTGCACTTCTGAAATTATGTTTCTGATCATCCCCACTTACTTTCCTTGATTCACATGGAAGAGTGATACACGGGAGCAAAACTTGGTGCCTGTTCAATAACAGACTAGGGCTAGTCTGAAGCAACTTCCCTCTGAATGTGTACTGTGTGGGTGGTTGGTTCTCATCTCCTCTCGGTGTCCTGTGGCAGCACAGGGCTACAAATCCAGTCCTACCAGACTACGCTACCTGCAACTGCAAGAACAAGCAAAGAATGGCTTTGAAATATACCCCAAGGAAAGGGAAAACCCAACATAAATACAGGGATATAGAAGCAGGATCAACTCAACCCTTGCTTGCATATACGTATTCTTATTTACAATGCCTAAAATATTTTAATACTGCTCTCAGAAATATTGTAAATCTATTTTAGTTCTTGTTTGACAGAGTCTTTCTCTTATTCACAAGAAAATGAAATCTGGCAAGGGTCTTGTTTTGTCAATTTAGATGTTTCAATGTGATCAAAATGTAACATCTCATAGCAACTTTAAGTTCTCATTTTTTCAAAAGCCTTGAGTCAGAGAAGTGTTTCCATGTGTATATTACACACCAGACACAATGAAAGAGAGAGAAAGAGAAGAGCAAAAAAAGGCAAAGACTGTCATTCAACCAAGGTGAAACACTCAACTTTTTCATCAGAGCCAAGCATAGATTTGGGTTAATCTGATGACACAATGAAGTTGTTCCCAAGTGATGCCAATATAAAAAGATATACCTTTTGGCATCTAGTAAGTTAAAGGAATTCAATATGTGTGTGTTTGTCTAAAGCACTTGAGATATGTTTGAAGGAGGCAAACAAGGGCTCAATAAATCACATAGTCCGGTTTACCTTACAAGAACATATTAGTTTACAGTGCATAGCAAAGTGTTCAGCCCAGAAGAATTTCAAAATATGGTCCCATTTGTTCCTCAACCCCTCAGTTACTACCTCAGAGTCAAGATCAGGAGTGAATTTCTCTCCACAATGCACACACTATTAGTACTAATACAATCTCTTTGTGACTAGAAGAATTGTCCTTTCACGATCAAGAGTGTGAAATATCTTTGCTATGTCTACATTATATCTGCACATGGGTACAGTGGCTTGTGATCACCCAGTCTGGGCAGGAATAAATGGGGACTGAAACTCCACAAATATTACTCAGGTAATTAAGGAGGCCTTTTCTTTCTGGGCTTGGATCACTGTCATGTTACCTCTGTAACATGCCAAAGCCACACCATTGAAATTTACTGGGATGAAACATGATAAGAGCAATAGTTGATCTCTAAATATTGCTTATAATGTTAGTGAAGTTGTAGTCAGCATTTCACAGAAAACAAAAATTAACAAGACAAGTGAACTTCCTGTGCTTCCTTTCAAAGCCCTTGAAAACTGACTGCTATAGTCAGCAGCCATTATTAAATTTATATTTTATGTTTGTATTTAAACAGTGTTATTTTTCATATAGTTCTCCAAGACAGTGAGTGCCTGAGTAAATAATGTACAGCAAAATCCCAGCAGATTTGAATGGAACTATTTATTTTTCCAGTGAACTAGCCCTTAACACTATTGAATCCATACCTTAATTTTCATGAAAGTATGACCAAGGAGATGCTTTTGCAGTCTTCTTGGAAAGACATCCACTTCAGGCAATTTTATACCATATAGAAAAGTAAGTCCTAGAAAGGGGTTTTAGGACCATGCGGTCCTTAAAGCCATTGTCTTGCCATCATGGAGGCCATCCCTGTCTCTCCCCTGCCCCTGACACACTATATTTTTAAGAGAGGGGAAGCTGTTGAATAGCAACAGCAGGACAGAAGGACCCTCAGGCTATTTCAGTCAAAATAGTGAAGCTGCAAGGAATTCTCATTATGTCTCAAGAAAGAAAATTGCTGATAATCCTTGACTGCCAGATATCCAGGTCTTAAGACAGACAAGAGAATATATGGAAAAAATATTCAGAGGAAGAAAGCCATCTGGCTTGGATAAGGAGTGAAAATTCCCTGATGAAGTGGGTTTTAGGAAGGAATTTGAAAGATGTGAGATCTTGGCAGGCAAAAGGGCTTGGGGGGAGGAGAGTGGTATATTCCATCTGGGACACAAAAGATAAGTGCAGAAAAGACAAGAGCAAGAAAAAGACGGAGAAAGGAAGGGAGCAATAGCAAAGTATAAGAAGTCCAACGCAGAATGAAAGCAAACATAAGAATCACCTTGAGATTCTGAAAGATCTCACTGTAAGATCTCATTATAATTCTCTAAGACTTAACATGAAGGACTTTAATAGATAAAGTGTCTTTTTCCAGCCCTCCATCATCATGTTTGCTGTCAGATTGTATTCGTCCTGCCTGATCCATCTGCTCTCTCTTCTCATTCATGTCATGCTCCAG